GCTCCCCCCCCCCCAATCACTCAGGACTCGGGACTCAGGCCTCCCCACCTGGAGTCTCCAGGCCCCTCCCGTCCTTTCCCCTTGGACCTGTTACTCAGGGTGCCAGCTCCCAGGGCTGATGTGACTGGGTCGTTCCTGAGGTGGGAACCAGTTCGTCCTTGGCGTAGCTGTCACCTGGATTTTATCTGCAGGATTTTTCTATCGTCACAACCACTTTGTGGGATTCTGATAGACTTCAAATGTCACGTCCGCGGATAGTTTACATAGGATGACTTTCTAATTCACACTTTTAATGTGCAGGTTTAAGGTGCAAACAACTACACGCTGACATTGAGGAAATAATTGTCAGGGGTTAAATAAATAAAAAATTCTAGTACCTGTATTGGGGGTTTTGTGGCTTTCCCAGTGGCCACGTCTCTTGGGGGCACCAGAGTGTGTGAGCTGGTTGTGTGGGACCCCAGCTCATCACTGAGAGGTCACCCTTCCGCCTAAAACATTCACCTTAAGATGTGTCCTGGAATCCCCAGGAAGGCAAGTCCCTGGTGTGTAGTGTCCTGCTTCAGGGAGGCTGTGGGTGTCCAGCCCCGGCTCTGAAATGTGCACCTGGGACTCAGCTGCAGCCCCACAGACTCAGTCGCTGTCGCTGGCGGGTGGGCTGAGGTGGAGCCTTGAGACCCTCGCTCCCTCGGGGCTTCCTGTCCAGTGTCCGGCCCTGTGCCTGGCCCTGCACCAGCTGAGGACCAGGACCCAGCATATATTGTGGGTTGTGGGGGGCAGTGGAGCTCGGCTCCTTGATGACATAGTCAAAGCATTTAGACCCCAACACACCTGGCGGTTTAAGTTCTCCAGAAATGGCCCCACTGCGGGTGGGTCTGCCTCCCATGACAAGTCTCCCAGGTGGCTTTCTCAGGGCTGCTGCCCAGACTTGGGGAGCAGACGCTGGGGAGCCTGCTGCTTTCTTGAGCGGATCTTGTAACCGTAAACTCTGGCTGGATGCGGGAAGTTCCTCCCAGGCTGAGACGCACATTTCCGTGGCCCTCACCCCACGGGAGGAAGAGGCATGGCCAGTGCAGGGCAGCGTCCTCTGGCCGGGCCCAGCCCCTGACCTGAACGCAGTGCAGGCCCTTGCCCTGTACCCTGTGCCCTCTGCCCACCACGGCTCAGCACAGCGGGAGTGGCTCAGGCAGGGCTTGAGGCCCGATCCCCAAGGCCT